TTCAAAAACCCTTTGGAGGAAATTTTCTACTTTTAAATAAAGTTAATTAAAAAAACTAATTTCGTTTTATAAAAACTATACTGGGGAAAATTTTGTCTTTTCTGGTTTTCAAAAAAACCCTTTGCAGGAAATTTATTTCTAATATTAAAAAAAAATAAATAAAAAACTAATTTTGTTTTTTAAAAATTTTGTCTTTTCTAGTTTTCAAAAACCCTTTGGAGGAAATTTTCTACTTTTAAATAAAGTTAATTAAAAAAACTAATTTCGTTTTATAAAAACTATACTGGGGAAAATTTTGTTTTTTCTGGTTTTCAAAAAACCCTTTGAAGGAAATTTTTTACTATTGAAAAAAGTTAATTCAAAAAACTAATTTCGTTTTATAAAAACTACTGGGGAAAATTTTGTCTTTTCTGGTTTTCAAAAAAACCCTTTGAAGGAATGTTATTTTTATTTAAAAAAAAAATTAAATAAAAAACTAATTTCGTTTTTTTGAAAATTTTAGGGGAAAATTTTGTCTTTTCTGGTTTTCAAAAAAACCCTTTGCAGGAAATTTATTTCTAATATTAAAAAAAAATAAATAAAAAACTAATTTTGTTTTTTAAAAATTTTGTCTTTTCTAATTTTCAAAAACCCTTTGGAGGAAATTTTCTACTTTTAAATAAAGTTAATTAAAAAAACTAATTTCGTTTTATAAAAACTATACTGGGGAAAATTTTGTTTTTTCTGGTTTTCAAAAAACCCTTTGAAGGAAATTTTTTACTATTGAAAAAAGTTAATTCAAAAAACTAATTTCGTTTTATAAAAACTACTGGGGAAAATTTTGTCTTTTCTGGTTTTCAAAAAAACCCTTTGAAGGAATGTTATTTTTATTTAAAAAAAAAATTAAATAAAAAACTAATTTCGTTTTTTTGAAAATTTTAGGGGAAAATTTTGTCTTTTCTGGTTTTCAAAAAAACCCTTTGCAAGAAATTTTTCCAATAAAAAAACAAAAAAAAAAAATAAATAAAACTAATTCGGTTTCTGAAAAAGAAAATTAGTAAAACCTTAAAGTTAAAATGTTTATATACAAATTTTTTTCTTAATCCGCACATTTCTTTTTTTTTTCTCATTATTTTTCTTATCCTATATAAAATCGCGTCCGAATTCCATTAATTATATATCATTATAAGTATATTATTGTATATAGTATATATATATGTATATATAATCGTTTGCGCCGCGCGGTAATTTTTTCCCGCACCTCTCTTTTATAAATAAGGCTTTTTGGAACTCGCGTCACGTTCTTCAAGAAATCGCGCGAGGCGTTATTATTAATTAAAAAGGATGAGAGATTTTCGACGATATAATTACCGCGTTGAATTCATCGTTATTGATTACATTCTATTAATCACACGCGCGCTCTTTCTCTCACTCACAGACACAAACACGTACACGGCGGAAAAAATATGTCATTGATTAAAAAATTCCTCGCGCGCGCGCACGCGAATCGCGTTTAGAATTGTACGCGCAAAAAAAAATTTAAAAAAAAAAAAAAAGATATTCATTTTATAAAACGGGTTCGCGCGATCATATTTTATATTTTTCGAGATGAGATATACCGTTCTTCTTCTTTTTTTTTTTCTTCAAGTCATCCTATTAAGCGATTGCATTTATCATTTTTTTATTCGAATTTTTTTTTTTTTTTTTTTTTTTATTTTGATTATTATTTATTTTGATCCCCTAGAGAATGAAAATGTTTTTTTTCCATCCACTATTTTTTATTTTCGCACGCACATTAGATGTTGGCGAGGAGAGAATTCGCACCTATATATATATATATTTCCTTCGATTCTGCGCGTATCTATTGAATAAAAGAGCCGTTTTAAGCAAATAGAGGTGCGCGCACCTACAATCTAAATCCACCTACCTGTTCGGGGTATCGCTTCTGTCGCATTATTCACGCTGAAATCACCGCACAAAAAAAAAACGACCAATATAAGCTCAAACCCCCCTCTTCACTGCACACTCGCTTCTACCATCGCATCGTGAAATTCGATTCGGCCACCGAAAGTCCGTAACGCTTGTCTTCGTTTCGTCTCATCAATTTTATTTTTAAGATATTGCAAAAAAGAAATAATTTTTTAAATCGATCCTGTGTGATGCATTTTTTTGCAATGTCCTGAAACAGAAAAATAATTTTTTTTTTTTTACAACAAATTTATGAAATTTTCATTTATCTTCGTTTTGTAATTTCATTTTCTGGGGAATTTTCAATAAACGGTAATTAAATTTTTTGACAAAAGTATATGTGAAAAAATATTTTTACTTCTGCGTAATTCAAAAATTAAAACAATTAACAGGTAATTTTTTGTAAAAGCCCTAGAATTTTTAGGTAACTAATCAATTCATCAGTATATTGCGCAGAGAAATATTGCAGCGGTTACTACTGCGCATCACCTGCGCAATAGATCACGAAATTGTTGCACAGAAGTAAAAATTTTTCAACTATATTCTATTATGTATGATTAATTCTTGTCAAAGCCCATAGCATTTTTAGGTGACTTATCAATTTGTTACTACTGCGCAGCGAAATATAGCATCGGTCATTACTGCTCATCACCTGCGCAATAGATCACGAAATTGTTGCGCAGAAGTTAAAATTTTCAACTATATTCTATTCTGTATATGGTCAATTTCTGTCAAAGCCCATAGTATTTTTAGGTAACTAATCAATTCGTCAGTACTGCGCAGCGAAATATGGTAACGATTTCTACTGCGCATCACCTGCGCAATAGATCATGCTCCACGAAATTTCTGCGCAGAAGTTAGAATTTTCAACAATTATCCATTTTGTATGGAATTTTCTTGTCAAACATTTTTTTAATAGTAAGGGGACACATTCATAAACTACGTTAGCAATTTTTCATTTTTTTTAGACCTCCTTTCCCCTTGAAATAGGTAACGTAGTTTATAGATGGCCCCGAATTTAATTTCACTTATTTAGACATAACCTAAAAATAAATTTAACTAATAATTCATTATTTTTGACTAATTAGAAATATATTACCAATAAATATATCAATCATCTCTAACGTCCTTTATTATTCAATAATTAATTAAAACCATAAATAAACAACAAACAAAACAGGTGTGAATTACGAAACAAAAAAATTTAACGTTTCATAGTTGACTACTCTTTATATTTTTTGTTAATTTTCACTAATTCTGCAAGCTGGAATTGAATCAACTCCAAAACAATAAATTTTTCCAATTTTACTCCTGTTTTGTTTCTTGTCCTTTTGTAATCGTTATTAATTAATTGATAATAAATATTATTAATTTCAGCTATACATAACCTAAAAATGAATTTAACTGATAATTAATTTTCCTAATTAATTTCCTAATTCAAATTAATTAGGAGTATTTTAATGGTTACTATTACACATTACTTGCGCAATTGCTGGCAAGTTAAAAGTTTCATCCATTCTTTATGGATTTTTACTGAAAAATATGCTTTTAACAGTAATTTAAATTTTAAAAATAAGAAAAATATGTTGTTTTACTTTTGTAACTCGAGAATGAAAACAATTGACTTATTTTTTGCCAAAGTCACAGTATTTTAAGGTAAATAATCAATTCGTTAATACTGCGCAGCGAAATATAGCAACGGTTTCTACTGCGCATCACCTGCGCAATAGATCATGTTCGATAAAATTGTTGCGCAGAAGTTTGAATTTTTAATAATTATCCATTCTTTGTGGATTTTCGTTAAAAAGTATTTTTTTATCGCTACTTTAAATTTAAAAAATAGAAAAACATGTTTAAATTTTTTTTTACTTTTGTAATTCGTTAATAAAAAAATTGACTGTTAATTTCCTCAAAGATATATAGTATTAGGAAGTAGCAAATTAATTCATTATTACTGCGCAGCAAAATATAGTAGAGGTTACTACTGCGCATCACCTGCGCAATAGATCATGCTCCATGAAATTGTTGCGCATAAGTAAAAATTCTTAACTATTATATTTCCTGTATAATTTCTTATTTTTAAACATTCTTTTAACAGTAATTTAAATTTTAAAAATAAGAAAAGTATGTTATTTTACTTTTGTAACTCGAGAATGAAAACAATTGACTTATTTTTTGCCAAAGTCACAGTATTTTAAGGTAAATAATCAATTCGTCAATACTGCGCAGCGAAATATAGCAACGGTTACTACTGCGCATCACCTGCGCAATAGATCATCCTTCACGAAATTGCTGCGCAGAAGTTAAAATTCTCAACTATTATCTCTCCTGTATGGTTTTTTTTTATTAATAAACATTCTCTTAACTGTTATTGACATAACCTAAAAATAAATTTAACTAATGATTAAATTTTTTTTTAAATAATTGGAAATATTACTAATATTTCAATCAGTGACTGCGTTTTTGCTATTAAAGTTATTATTTTAAATAATTTAAATTCATATTTAATAATAATTATTAGGATAATAATAGTAATAATAATAATTATTATTAGAATTATAATAATTATTATTATTATTAGAATTACTATTACATAAATAATACAATAATGAAGAGCTTTGCGCTTAGTACATATATATATATATATAAAGAATAAAAAAAAGAGAGACAGAGATGAGGGAAGGGAGATAAAAAAAAATGTTAATAACCACATTCATCAGAGGCAAAAAGCCTCCCACCAGGATATTCCTTTCATTCGAAATCACCAGGACAGAATTATCATGCACACAGGTGGCTCGCGAGTGCTCAGGTTGTAGGTCCCTTATGTGTTAACGAATATAGAGACATACATATATATAGGTATATATATATATATATATATATGCTATAAAGCTCTGGGTCGCGCAAAAATATAACTCAAACTCTAAAGCGCAAAGTGAGTCAACGTTTGAGAGGAGATTTACCCAAACTATATATATATATATATATGTGTAAGAAAAAGAAAAAGAAAGATTGAGTGAATATAAAAGTGAGATAGAGAACAGAAAATTTGCCAAGTGTGTGAGAGAAAGAGAGAGAGAGAGAAAAAAAGAAAGAAAGAGAGAGAAAGAAGCAAGGTAGGTAGGATCGTAGAGGTAACATCGTAGAGAGGCTGGGACTTGATCCCAAAGGTAGGAGCACTTGGTTAGTGGAGACCAGTCCATCGCGGGCCCTCCTTTCGTTCAAACGCGTTTTACTTTCCGGTGCCTCATTTCCCACACCAATAAAAAAAAACAAAAAAAAATAAAATTCTACCTCCCCCGCCAAAAAATAAAAATTGAGATTTCTCAAATGCAAAAATTCCCCCACTTTCCCTAATTCAATCAAATTCAATAGAATTTTCATTATAAAATTTTTTTTTTACCATTCTCTAATTTAATTTACTTCAATAAAAATGGTAGTAATTAAAATTGTGTAAGGATACTTTAAATCTAATATATATGAATATGTTAGATAATTGATCAATTTTGTATAAATGAATTGAAAACTTTGATTTTTTATTGCAAATTTTAAATGAAAATTCAATTTAAATTAGTGGTGTCCTTTAGAAGAAAAATTAGCAAGTGTAAAACAAATAAGTTAATAACAAAATAATTGAATTCTTAATAAAAAAAAAAGTTAAATTTATCATTATTTGGATATTTTTGTGGAATTTAAAAATTTTTTTGCAACAATATTGATATATAATTAATTTTTAATAATCGGTGATTAAGAATTGATGATTTAGGAAGTTATTTAAAGTTTCGGAATTAAATGTCAAGAATTTATATATATAGAAATATAATATATAGATATAGTGATTTTCAGAAGTAAAGCAATACCGATTAGGATCAAAAGGAATTGGATATTGAGAATTGTTTTATAAGGACAAGTTCAGGTGTTTAGTGATAATATCTTAAAGAAGAGTAACAAAGTGTGTCAATATAAGATTATATATATGTGAAAGTTGAAATGAAGATTAACATTAGGAAGTGATTAGTGTTGGAAGATCTAATACAGCGGATTAGTGTAATATGTCCAGGATGAACATTAGGTGGTATTACCAATCGTTAAATGGTATTACCAATCATTAGATGGTATTACCAATCATTAGGTGATTATACAGTGTCGAAATAAACGTTGGTAATTATAACATAAGAAGAAGGATAAATATAAAAACAAACAACATTAGGGATGTCAAGAACGTTTTGGTTTAGGAGACCTTAGGTGATTGATACAACGTTTCATTTGCAAAAGAAGCAACGTTTTTGGAAATCTAAAACCTTTTTTCTTTTTTTGTGGAACACTATCAGAAAGAGGAGGATTAGACAGTGACAAGAACAAATGAGATATTTGGAAAATTAAATATTTGCAAGGAACATTAAATGTTGAAAGAACACATTTGTATTTTAGCAGCAGTATGCAATGAATTTAGTAACGAAAATGGAAATAAAGAACTTCGAATAAATAACGAATCATTTGTGGCAATTTGTTTGAATCTTAAAATCGACATGCGATAAAGGTCGTAGATATCAGTTCCCGGAAGTAAGGCTCTTGGGCACGCCGCCGGTATACTTTCGAATATTATGTCCGATGAGTGTTCCTTATTTCCTCTATCTTTTCCGTCGGATAATTTGAAAAAAGTATTGTAACCAAAAACATTTACTAATTCCTTCAATTTCTATCAAATTTTGGTATTCATCAATACCTAAATCTACTTTATCTAATTTATCTAAATTACCTAATTTACCTAATTTACCTATTTATCAATTAATTTATCAAAATCTTAAAACCTAACCAAAATTTCTAAAAAATCAAATCAAAATCCAATCAAAACCCCTTTGGAATTATAAAGGATTTACAATCGATTCAATACTTACAAAAAATTGAAGTCAGTAACAACAGACATCTTGATCGAGGGATATCTCTTTCTCTCTCTCTCTCTTTCTATCTGTTGAACCGGAAGGGGATTCGGTGGTCTCTTCCGGTTTGATTGTTTCGATCCTTCGACCCAGAACCAGTGGGCCGTCAATATTAACAGTCTCGCCGGGGTTTTGTCTCTCTCTCTCTCTTTCTCTTTTTCTCTTTCTCGATATCGAGTTCCGTCGATCGACTTACCGGATCAGATTGGATCGTCTTCCATTTCTTTGTGGGATCTCAGTGTGACCTTCTTCATATATAGATATATATATATATATCCAAAAGAAGATGTTTATGACTTTTTTATTTTACAAAGTGTTTTACGTGACTTTTGGAATATCATAATAAAGGTTTCTTTTTTTCCTTCTTCTTCAACAAGACAAAAAAGAGTGTGCCGGAGATTTCAATGCCGAAGAATGAAGAAAAAAGTGATTTTTATAATAGTAATTTGGTGACATAAATCAATGAACGACGAGAGGGTAACGGTGATGTAAGAAATGCGTCCTGGTGACTTCGCGGTAACCGCGATAGCCCTATTGATATTGGGACTAATTCAGGGACCTCGACAAAATAGGTAAGGGAAAAATTGTCATTTGTTTTTTTTTTTTTAAATGATTATAATTTAGTTTTGCTTTTATTTTTCAAAAGCAAAAATTATACTAATTATACTATAATATAATTATACTATATTAATTTATTATTAAATTTTATTTTCAAAAAGCGATCATTATTTTAATAAAGTAATTTAATAATTTAATAATGTTCGATTTGAAAATTAAAATGTTTAACAATAAGAAATTATACAGAAAAGATAATAGTTAAGAATTTTTACTTCTGCGCACCAGTTTCATGGAGCATGATCTATTGCGCAGATGATGCGCAGTAGTAACCTTTACTATATTTTGCTGCGCAGTAATAATGAATTAATTTGTTACTTCCTAATACTATATGTCTTTGAGGAAATTAACAGTCAATTTTTTTATTTACGAATTACAAAAGTAAAAAAAAATTTAAACATGTTTTTCTATTTTTTAAATTTAAAGTACCGTTAAAAAAAATATTTTTTAACGAAAATCCACAAAGAATGGATAATTATTAAAAATTCAAACTTCTGCGCAACAATTTTATCGAACATGATCTATTGCGCAGGTGATGCGTAGTAGAAACCGTTGCTATATTTCGCTGCGCAGTATTGACGAATTGATTATTTACCTTAAAATACTGTGACTTTGGCAAAAAATAAGTCAATTGTTTTCATTCTCGAGTTACAAAAGTAAAACAACATATTTTTCTTATTTTTAAAATTTAAATTACTGTTAAAAGCATATTTTTCAGTAAAAATCCATAAAGAATGGATGAAACTTTGAACTTGCCAGCAATTGCGCAAGTAATGTGTAATAGTAACCATTAAAATACTCCTAATTAATTTGAATTAGGAAATTAATTAGGAAAATTAATTATCAGTTAAATTCATTTTTAGGTTATGTATAGCTGAAATTAATAATATTTATTAGCAATTATTTAATAACGATCACAAACGGACAAGAAACAAAACAGGAGTAAAATTGGAAAATACCAAAAAATTTATTATTTTGGAGTTGATTCAATTCCAGTTGCAGAATTAGTGAAAATTAACAAAAAATATAAAGAGTAGTCAACTATGAAACGTTAAATTTTTTTGTTTCGTAATTCACACCTGTTTTGTTTGTTGTTTATTTGTGGTTTTAATTAATTATTGAATAATGAAGGACGTTAGAGATGATTGATATATTTATTGGTAATATATATTTCGAAGTAGTTAAAAATAATGAATTATAAGTTAAATTCATTTTTAGGTTATGTCTAAATAAGTGAAATTAAATTTGGGGCCATCTATAAACTACGTTACCTATTTCAAGGGGAAAGGAGGTATAAAAAGAATAAAAAATTGGTAACGTAGTTATTATGAATGTCCCCTTACTATTAAAAAAATGTTTGTCAAGAAAATTCCATACAAAATGGATAATTGTTGAAAATTCTAACTTCTGCGCAGAAATTTCGTGGAGCATGATCTATTGCGCAGGTGATGCGCAGTAGTAACCGCTGCTATATTTCGCTGCGCAGTAGTAACGAATTGATAAGTTACCTAAAAATACTATGGCTTTGACAGAAATTAACAGTAACTTCTGCGCAAGAATTTAGTGATCTATTGCGCAGGTGATGCGCAGTAGTAACTGCAGCTATATTTCGCTGCGCATTAGTGACAAATTGATTAAATACTTACAAATTCTAGTTTTAATTTTACTTTTTTTTTCAATATTAATTATTAATTATTTAAAATGCGATCATTATTTTTTTACTAAAGTAGATTATAATTCTTCTTTTAATGACCGATTTATTCATTACACTACGAGTATAATAACCGCGGGCGCAAAAAAAAATATATATATATATATCTTATATTATTAATGGTGTATTAACAAAATAACTTCTTATGCTCTAATCAATTTCATGGTTCGGCTGATGATTAATGAAGAGTTGGGTTTCATATATATATAAGTCAGATTCATTATTACAAAATTGAAAAGAAAAAACAAATCTCTTTTTTCAAAAAAAAAATCACACAACGACATAATTAGCATGACAATCAATTTTGTGTCACATCTATATATAACATTTTAAATTCTTTTAAGTTTCCTTTTTATTTAGTATATTTATATATATATGACAAATGGATGACATAAATAGCGATCAAATATGTTATGATTATCATTCAAAATCATTATTTTAAATCTTTGTATATTTAATTAATTACATCTTTAAGGAGTTTAAAAAAAAAGAAAGGTTGGATCATTTTATAATCTTTAAATTAAAAAAAAGTAAAAATTAGGTATTAGAAAAAACCCCCCAATTAATTTGAAGAGTGCATATCGGCTAATTATCACTAATTACATGGTTAATTTATTTCTTGATGAAATTTATGACTCCCGTGTGTGTGGTTCACATTTCTCCCTCTCTTTCTCTCCCGAAGCAAATGTCATAAAGGGTTATAACAAAAATTCCTCGGATGATGTGGTTTGAAAGAAATTTCGTTTTATTTCTTTATATATATATATATATATATATATATATATATATATATATATATATATATATATATATATATATATATATATACATGACAGGAATGATTGTCTCGCTCAGTGACTGAAAATTCTTAAAGTTGACATGGGAATAATAAAAGAGAAAGAAAACAAAAAAAAAAGAGAGAGATAGGCAAGTTTTGTACGTGCGTTTATATTTATGAAGAGTTCCTCTATATATATATATATATATAACAGAAGCGGGGGACCCCTGAGAATAAGGCAACCCCCACTTGCAATTAGGCCCATCCAAGCGAACCTGGCCCATTGGCTCGAGGCTGATCCGAGGACCACCTTGGACTCGATATTCGATTTCGAGATAGCAGGTATATATATATAGGTGACTACAACTATCGACGTCGTCGGCACGACACAGAAATCGAAGTTTCACGATCAGTTCTCGATGTGTGTATATTTTTATAAAAGGTCGATGAATTTCGCGAAGGGCATATAGCAACAGCAGAGAAATTTCGTCGTCGTCGTCGACGACATATATATACAACATAACGTCGTCAATGTTATGTGTTCCCTTCTATTTGGGGGAAAAAAAGGAGAAATATAATCGAAGAAGGGAAACTCTGGAATTCGATTAGGTCCCATTCTACCAGACAAGATAACTGACAATCTATTCCCAACGATTTAAGGAACATCAAACCTTAATTTATGGCCCCTTATTTATCCGCACTCAATTTATGTTCCTTTTTTTTTTCTTTCTTTCTTGACCACCAAACATTTTTATTTAATCAGTTAACCTCTAATGAAAAAAAAATCATTTTTTTAAAACAAAATTTTTCTTAATTCCTAGTTGATGCTTTTCATTATAAAAGATTTTACCTAGAACAACGAAAAGTTTTACTGGAACAGTGAAATATTTTATTAAAACAGCGAAAAATTTCACTGGAATAGCGATAGTTGAGAATTTTTACTTCTGCGCAGCAATTTCGTGGTGAATGATCTATTGCGCAGGTGATGCGCAGTAGAAACCGTTGATATTTTTCGTTGCGCAGTATTGATGAATTGATTACTTACCTTAAAATACTGTGACTTTGGCAGTATTAACTAATTGATTACATACCTACAAATACTAGTTTTAATTTTAGTTGTCATTTTTTTTTTTGAATTGTAAATTCTTAGTTTAAAGCTTTTCATTTTTGTTATTCTATACTAAATTGAATTCAGTACATGATTTTTAAAAAAAATTTTTTAGCAAGTCGTTTTCTAAATACATGGAAACAAAATTTTTACCTAGAACAGCGAAAAGTTTCACTGGAACAGCGATATTTTTTTACTAAAACAGAAATATTTTATGAAAACAGCGAAAAGTTTCACTGAAACAACGATAATTGATAATTTTAACTTCTGCGCAAAAATTTTGTGATCTATTGCGCAGGTAATGCGCAGTAGTAAGCGCTGCGATATTTCGCTGGCGCAGTCTTAACTAATTAATTAGATATACTTACAAATACTTGTTTTAATTTTACTTTTATCGATATTGATTATTTAAAAAGCGATCATTATTTTAAATAAAAATAAATCATAATTCTATAATTATATCGATTAAAAAATTGAAATTACTGTTAAAAGAATGTTTAACAATAAAAAAAAAACCATACAAAATAGATAATAGTTGAGAATTTTTACTTCTGCGCAGCAATTTCGTGGATCATGATCTATTGCGCAGGTGCTGCGCAGTAGTAATCACTACTATATTTTTCTGCGCAGTAGTGACGAATTAATAAAGCACTTAAAAATACTATAATTTTAATTTCAGTTGTTTTCGATATTATTTTTTTTTCCTTTTAAATGGTTCGAAAAAAAAATTCAAAATAATGAATGAAAGAAGCGAATAAGTGTAGTAATAATAGCCCTTTAATTATCAACCAAATTTGCCTTTTTAGCTTGGATAATAATTGCGAAAAGAACAATTAGGGAGCGGAATTTATGGCCAAAGGTATATAACATTGAATGCGTGCTCGTGGTACGTCACGCCTCGTCACGAGTAAAAGCCCCGCAACGTTATATGAACGCGCGCACAATTATTTCGCGAGCATACCACACTATTTATCCTCGCACAATAAACTCACAACTTCAGGGGTCGAGGTCGTTTTCTGTCCAATAGAAGAGCAAGAATTTTGAAAAAAAAAATTGAATTTTTTTTTTTTAATTTACTTAATTGATATAATTATATATACACAGAAGAGAAGAAAAAAAAAATTCTTCTCAATTCACGTGCAAATAAAATTTAAATGTCTCTTGAGAGACGAGGGAATATTCGAATTATTGCTACTTTCCAAGAGCGTTAAAAGCATTTCTTTTTCCAGATTCGAATCATCATAACCTTTTTATTTAAGTGTCATTGCGGAATTAATTAACTGTTCAATAAAAATACTCTTGAGTTATCGTTATAAACGAGTAAAAATATATATATATTTAACTGAAGATTCGTATTTTA